ATTTCTCAAATACTAGAGGGCTCTCCCGAATGAATCCAAAATGAATGGGTTAAGATGGAGCATTTGAGCAAAAACATAGTTTATAAATGTTTAAACATTAATCATATAAAACAATACATTCTTTTCCTAAACACAGAACATCATAAAACATTTTAACACCACTGTTATATTTTTGAGCGCTTTTGAACTCTAGTTGTAGGAGTTTAAAATGACACCTCATGTATGTTCATGACGTCAGTGAGAGCGAACAGCCAATAAGCTGCTCCGCTTGCCAACCAATCAGCACCCAGTAGCAGTAACGTTAGCGTCCTGCTGGCCAAAACCTGTTTGCTGTAGAAAAAGAAAACATACAGGTAGGTTATCTTTGCTTCTTTTAGTGAAATACATCCTTCTACTTTCTAAAATTAAAGGACAGCTCTGGGCAAGTGATCAGATACTTTTCTGTTTTAGCCGTTTAGTAGCTCCATTCACCCCCATTCATTAAGCACTCCTCGCGGGCGGTCTTTGTTTTTTTTGTTTTTTAAAATAACGGGGAAATAGACCCTTTTCACAAGAAACAGAAGTGCATAACCGTTGGGTAAAACATTTTCTGCTATTAGGGTTACCCTGCAAGGAGTACCAGCAGATAAAATGCGGAAATGTGAAAAGGGCATGTAGGAAGAGGCCAGGCTCTTCATAAACTGGCTCTGGTTTCTCCTACTACTCAACGTTAAGCCAGATCTTGTGTCTTGTTCTTTGGTGACACTCACACTCACACCATCGTGTACGGACAAAGCCTGTGATTTATGTGCTCACACTCGGTCCGACTGACACGACGCGACATGCGTGCACACACTGCATGTAAAACACAGCCCCTACAGACAGCTCTGTCCACACACAGTTTTCAATAAACCTGTTTCATTCAAAACAACTCACGTCCGAGATCTGAGCAAAAAACACTGGCTGAATCTCAAATGGCTCTCTGCTCCCTTCTCCCTGCGTTGTGCACCACGTCTTAAAATAATGACATCTGCCCCCATACAGTGCATCACATATATAATAAATAGCCATTTGGGATTCAGCTGTGTGTGCACAATTCCATACTGGACGAACATTGCGCTATTTTGATGTAGAAACCAGAACTTACACAGTACATTACTTAGGAAGGAGGGTGCCATTTGAGATTCATCCGTTGACAAAGCATGCTACACCAGTTTTGCTAACTTGTGTGCTCACACTGTGCACTGAAACTAAAAACCAGGCGGTATGCAGACACTTTTACGAAGACAAAAAAATTACCGTATTTATTTATTTATACCTCGCAATTCAACTCAGTCAAACGGAGCACAGTTTGCAACGTTGAGAAATTGGTTCGTGAGACTGCTTAGACTGTAAGACAAGCGACCAGAATTTCTGGTGTGTGAGAAATCCACCCGATCATCCGACTGCTCAATCGGGCATTGGTTCCCCTCTTTCACACTGCATGCCGAATGATGAATTTATGAAATTCAGTCGGCTCCAACCAGATCGGGGTTAAAAACGCATTTGTTATTCTGATGTTGAAATCTATAAACGTAAAGCATTTGTATATAAACGAGAAAACAATTTGTTTCATTTATTTTAACTGTTTTTTATCTAAAATGGCTCACGAACAGTTAATTAAACTAAAGCCGATTTTCGACTCGACTCGCTATTGGTACCAACTACTTTGTTTTCCACTGTAGATATAGTAGCTGGTCGTCATAGCGAAGCTGGATGAAACTGCCGAGACGTGAAGGAGACAAATTTTAGTTCAAAAGAGAGGCAGATGACAGCAAGATAAAATACTGCTGAAAAATCCAGGAGAATTTGGGAAATGCTACATCAGAGTTCAGACAACGAGACGATTCTGGTTGCTCAAAATCGACACGAGGGTACGCTAACCTAGCTAGCGTTAGCTTATGTGTTTTGTGATACTCTTTGACCAGTCAGTGGTTTGTAGCGCTTTTACGTCACCTTTTGCTATCGGCTCAACTTGCTTGGAACCTCGACGGAGTATCAAAAATAGTACCTCGTACCAGGTACCACATCTTTTTAGTGGAAAACCAGACCAAAAAAGCGAGTTGGGTCAAGCTGAGCCGGTACCATGCAATGGAAAAGCGACACAAAAGTAAACTAGGAGCGTTGCCCTATTATTTGCTGTTTAAGTGAGCTTTTAATGAATGGTAGTTGATACTGCATTCCCTGTTTAAACAGTCACTTAAGTAGCCTTTTACCCACCCAGCGGCCAGCTAACAGATTTACTTTCATTTTCTCGTAGTAGGACCACCAGCCTTGGAACTCAAGACATTTTTTCAAGGTCTTGGACTCAGTTGTATTTGTAGTCAGACTTGTCTCAGTTTTGATTGAATCCAACTACAGTTTAATTTAAACAGTCACTGACTCAGTGGTTAAACTGGGCCAGAGCGAATCCTTAGCGCCTTTTGTTTCATCTCAGCGGTAAACAGCTGAGCTCCTGTTCTGTAATCTGATGGAAATGTAAACCGTTTCATAATAAAATTTCGTGAAACCTATTAAACTATTCAGTGTGATAATCCATAGTAAGAAATAACTTTAACCTGCCCCCCCCTTCAAGTTTACTATATTTTTTTTTTTGCCGCTTCACATTTAAATGGTCTTTCTTGTCTAGCTCTACCACCCTGTGAGTACTGGTTGGTTAATTTCTGCTATTTTGTATTGATTTAACTCTGTAAAGATGTGTTTCAATTTTGCTATACCCCATTTAGTAGCCCATGTTATGTGCTGTTATTTATTCTGTTAAATCTGAAATAATTTAAAACATTCCGTCTAGGAGGTTTCAAGCTTGTGTAGCTAGATAACCTACAGCTGTCACCACATAGGAAGTTAACTCAAACATTTGTTTATACATTGTCTGTTCCATGTAAATGTGTTTTGTTTTTGTTTTTTTTACTGAATCTGACAGCCTTGCGTGATGTTTAGTCTACTGTTTTGCTAACTGACTGTTGCTAAATGTACTCGAAGGCACACATTTGCACCCAGCTCGATAGCTAACTGTTTGTAATTTAATATCGCTAATCACAGTTAAATTGGCTAGTGATGTTATGTAAGAAGGCTGGTTTACAGTAGTTTGAAAAGCATGTTTCCATAATCTGGTTGGATTGCACTGAACCTGTCAGCAAAGTGAAAAATTTCACAAGTTTTCTGTGTAAACTCAGTTGTACCGTGTTATGTTTTACTCTCCTAAGGGAAGAAGGATGCATCCATACCATTTTTTTCAGGCCGTGTACGAGTGCACATTTTTTACTACTCACCGATACCAAGTCAGATACCATACTGAGTAACGTACTTAGAATTAAGTAGTTGTTAGTGTAAATAAGTGCAGTGTACTTCAGCTAATATTAATTGATATGCATTAACTAGCTATGCTACATTTGTTACCTTTGATCAAGTAGCACTGCAGTGAAGAAGAGCAGGTTTTGTTCCTCGTCAGAAAAGCGCTTCTGTATAGCTGTAAGTAAAGTATGTTTCATAGGTTTGAATCACAATCTGTCTCAACAACAGTCTCTGTGGCACAGTGACAGCAGGAGTCACATACACTGTGTGATTTTAAAAATCTTGTTTTTAGTTGACTCACACGGTACTTTTGAACAGACCATCATGTAAGGACAAAGCCTAGCCTTTGTATACTCGCACTGTATAAAAACATTCAAATTAACACACTGCACACCAAGTGCTGAGCATAGAGAAACTGAGCAACACTGCTAGCACAGTGAACTGAAGGACAATACAGTCTCTCTACAGCTTATTTTACTATTTCACTATTAATGCTTATGCCTTGCTATTCTACTCGGTCAAATAGAAGTCGGTTTACACGGTAGGGAATATTGACTTTTCTGCCTCTGTTTAGCTGGTCTGTGTGTTTCCACCCATATTGAGGAAGCGGATGTGATAGCGTGTTTAAAAACAGGCTAAAATCACACAGTGTAGGTCTAGCAGGAATATGCCAAGGCGAATAGTTTAAAGAGACCAGCAACTTTGTGTCTGACTGTCACAGAGTCAGTAACACTTCCCTGTGAGAGTCTCCATCACTGCCATTAGTCTGGCAGTGTAAACTCAACTTATGTCACACGGTATCAGCAGGTATTGGAATATTGGTATCAGTAAATATTTTTGAGTATGAGTAAATGAGCATGGTATCAGCCCAATACCCAATACTAGTATCAGTATCAATGCATCCCTAGTGTTGTATGAAGTGAAAGTGGGCATTGGTGGCATTCATTGAGAGCTGGCTTTGAATGCAAAGAAACTTTCAATCCATACCACATTTGTGTTTGTAATTAGAAGAGGAGATGTTTCATTTAGGTTTGAATTTGATGGAGTTATTTTTGTACATTTAAGATTTGTACAAATTTGTTTGTGAGATTACTTTTCCCTGGAAGTAATAAGTAAAATGATCTTATTATAGTTTTAGAGAAGTAGTAATTTGGAATGGAATATTTTTTTCGAGTAACTACCCCACCACTGGTCAATGATGGAACAGGTTCTTATTTTGGAGCATAACCATAGTTTGGTCTTCTTGGAGTAGATTGTGTGTCTAGCTAAAAATGTTGAAAGGCTAATTTTGGACCATACGTGAGCTGGTTAACTTCCCTATGGGATATGTTTGTATATTGCCACCCCAAGCACTCAAACTGGCTTGATTATAAAAATGCACATACAGCTACAGGCTTTATAATAGTAGTACTGAACCTACAAGTGTGGGGTGTGGGGTTTGAGGGTTGTTATCTACTGACAACTGTGTTCCCCTCACTTTCAAAATGGCTTCTGCACCCCTGGAGTTATTTACCAAAAGTGGCAGAGGAGACAGCGTGTCGCCTGGTGGTCTGGCAAAACTAGGCTTGCCTAATCTTGTCTGGAATTAAGTAGCTGTCATGGGAATGTTCCCAGAGGATTTGTGTAGTTGATTTTTAGACAAAATGATTTTCCACATTGATGATTTTTCTCTGCCTTCCTCCCCTCAGGTGTACCCACACCAAGTCCAGAGATCCTGCGGCACACGCTCAACATGTTGGTTCGGGAGCGGAAGATCTACCCCACGCCTGAGGGCTACTGCATTGTTACACCCCAGACCTACTTCATTACCCCCTCCCTCATCCGCACCAACAGCAAATGGTACCACCTGGACGATCGGCATCCAGACCGCCAGCAGCAGCCACAACAACAACAACAACAACAACAGCAGCAACAACAACAACAACAGCAGCAACAACAGTCACAGCAGCAGCAGTGTACGTCACCCCAGTCTGGCACAGTCACACCTTCTACATCTGGATGTGTGCGGGAAAGGCTAAACCACAAGAACCACTATGACTCGTACAACTCATACCGAGATGAGGTGCCAAGCAATCACACCACACTTCAGAGGAAGTCCCCCAAGGAACCTAAAGGAGATCCCCCCTCATACCCTCAGCCCCCACCTCCTCCACCAACCACACAACACCCACCTGATCCAGACAAGAGCAGGAGCAACCCTTCCTTCTCTTACAAAACAGACACTCTGACCAAGAAGAAGGAGGGGAGTGCCGGGGGCAGCAGCGAGAGGCAATCTAAGAAATTTGGGCTAAAGCTTTTCCGACTGAGCTTTAGGAAAGACAAGACAAAGCAGCTGGCGACCTTCTCTGCCCAGTTTCCACCAGAAGAATGGCCTCTTCGGGACGAGGACACGCCCTCTTCTGTGGCCATTCCTCGCGAGGTGGAGATGGAAATCATCCGGCGGATAAACCCAGATCTGACAGTGGAGAATGTGGCACGGCACACAGCTGTGATGAAGCGTTTGGAGGAAGAACGTGCTCAGCGCTGCAAGGCAGGTTCATCTGCTCAGCACAGTAGTGCCCGCAGCCGCCGCAGCCGGGGCCACCGCCGTGTCCCACATGGGAAATCACGATCTCACAGCAAAACCCGACAAACCTCTCGTGGAGACCCGTCTGAGAGCTCCAACATGGACCTGGCCACCGCGGTGGGCCTGGAGAGGGACTACCGCTTCTTCAGCCACTCTCTTGTGCGATCTCCTAGGGAGGGAATGTACACGGTGGAGCGCAGGAGTGGTGCTTACCTTGTCCACAGCAACCCCAATATTGCAGAGTCATATTTCCCAGTTACACCTGAATGGGACGTGTCGGGGGAGCTTGCGAAGAGACGGACAGAGATGCCTTTCCCAGAGCCTTCACGTGGTACCTCACATTCTAGAGTGCATCGGAGCCACAGCCACACGCAAGACCGCAAGTCCCGCACCGAGCGGCCAGATAAGGCTAAAGAGAGGTCGAGATCCATGGACAACTCCAAGGGTCCGCTGGGAGGTGGGAGCTCCACTCTAGGCACTCCAGAGGAGTATGACCGCAGTCCAGACCATCGGAGTCGATACTATACTGATGACGGGACACTCAGAGCCTCTTCACAGAAAACTTCTCACTATTCACGCATTATGTTCTCTGCTGCTAAGTTCAACTCGGAGATGTCCGTGCCCGATATGGGTAAGATGAGCCTAGACACCCCTCTGGAGCGGAACAAGAGCAGGGACAGCTTGCCAGCCTACTGCGATCTGAAGGCCCTGTCGCCCAAGCCACTTGCAGACGACTACTTCCAGTGCAATACGTCGAACGAAACAATCTTAACCGCCCCATTGCCACTGGGCAAAGCCGATCACGACACCTTGACGCCATCAGATGGGATCCGTAAGGGATCACCAGCAGATCGGCAGACACCACATCTCACCTCCCCACATCCCATGGATTACAAAGAGGACACCTCCACCAAGGGCCACAGTGGCTCGGGTAAACCCACACCTAGCCAGACTCCAGAGCCCATGTCCAATGGACGTTTGATACAGCACCAACACAGTGCCGACCCAGGGGGTGGGGGAGGGGGCTGTGTGGGTGGCAGCAGCAGTGGGTTGGTGGTGGATAAGAGGAAAGAGATTTTCAGTAAGGATACTCTGTTTAAGCCACCACACAATGTTTTGACAATGAGCTATGTGGACAGTGGCTACTCAAAATCAGGCACGTTGCGAAAGACCCCTCACATGAAATCATCTGAGGTGCTGGACACCCTTGAGCCCCAAACTCCACCAGCTAACTCTGCCCCATCACCTGCATCAGCCCCGCCCCCAACAGGTTCAGAGCAGGGTGCCCCCTCTGCCTCTGAGGCCACATTTGACTACTACAATGTGTCGGATGATGATGACGAGGAAGAAGTGGAAGATTCTTCTCATAAAGAGGCAGCGCCGGCCGAGGGAAACGGGCGGGCAGGGGCTGTAGAGGGTGGTGGCGGGGTTGGTGGTGGGGTTGGGGGTGGAACCATGCAGTGGCTGCTGGAACGGGAGAAAGAGCGTGATCTACAGAGGAAATTCGAGACCAACCTGACTCTGCTGAGCCCCAAGGAGAACGAGAATACCAGCAGTCAGAAATCGGCACACTCCGCACGGCTGGATAGCATGGACAGCAGCAGTGTGACTGTAGACAGCGGCTTTAATTCCCCTCGGTAAGCTCACTCATTGCAGGCAAGGTGGACACAGAGCATCAGGGAACATCCTTCAAGTAAATACGTGCCATGTTTTTCATAGGTTTTCCACATTTTATCCTGAAGATTGTTTGGCTTTTATAAAATACAACTAAATATTACGGATGAGCCAATCTAATCCAAAAGATAAGAATTGCAGCTTGAAATACGAAGGTAGTGTATTCAAAGTGCTATAACATGTTTGCTTAAGTAGTCCTAAAAAGCACAAGATATGTTTTCAGAGTATGTCAAATCATGTACATATCAAAAACGAAGTGATTTTACTGCAGCATAAAGTAACTGATAGCATAATGTTATCTTAACTAAATTATATTGATTTAAATTATTTTTATTTACTTGCATTATATGGCTGTATAATCAACAAAAATACAAATGTTAGATCTGGACTCTGAATTTACAGATTTTCAATATTATTGAACTAATAAATTTTTATTGAGCAAATAAACCTGACTGAGACATCCCTAGAAAACATTTTTTATTTAAAATTATAAAATACAAGTAAAATTTTTTTGTACAGTTTTGGAACGCAAAGGAGTGTAGGTTTCTTTCCTAAACCTTTCTGTCAGTCCCAAGTGTCTGTCCTGTATCTATTATAATTATAAAGAATAGGCTATATTCATGTGTTCCAGAGCAAAATGTGAATAAATAGAGAGCAATAACTAGCCATAAGGCCTTGAAGTAAGTGCAAAACATTTTTATCATAAAGGTACTGTTGATTCAGGTTGTTATACATGGGGAGGTGGTATAATGTTGTTGTTGTTATTATTACCTTTTAAAAAACAAACCACATTAATAAACCCAGATTAAATCAATTTCATTGAATTGCCACATCAGTAAATAGCCCATCATTTCCTGGGGCAAATTTTCTTAAAGCTACACTATGTAAATTTTGGGGATTGGAGACCTCTCTGGGGGAAGTGTGTTATTGCATGCAGTGTGCAGAAGAACATTTTGTAACATCAGTTGTGCTTCAGACCTCTTCCCTAAGGGGATGCATCTAATGATTGTGAGTGTTTTGAAAAAGTATTCAAAGAGAACTCAGTCAAAACTTGGTGAAGGACATGTCCTCCTAAAATGTAAGTGGCATCATATCTTCATCAATATAAAATTGATTTTGCATTTGAGACCAATACTTTGAGCCAGGCTTTTTTTTATAAAAGCATAGTAGTAGCAAAATTAAAATGAAAATGTACTAAGCGAAATGGCAGAGTAGTTGTTTGTTTGCATTTAAAATTCTCACTCATATATGCAATGTTGGGCTCAAAATGAAGAAAAAAAAAGTTCAAATACCGCCGTTTTAATTTCCCATTTGTTATGCTAGCATTTAGGCTCTTTATCAATAGCTTCATTTAAATTAAAATGTATTTCCAGAATTACCTAGTTACTCATGTGATTATACAAAAATGGTGTCAAAATGATAATTAAAGTGTTCTTTTCCTGCATGCATTTGCACTCTCTAATAATGCATTATTAAAGAGAACACCAAGCTAGAAAGATTACAAAATTCAGATTCATTGTATCTGTCTCTCACCATGTGTAGTTGGTGGATTCATGTGTCCATCTGCATTTTGTGATAAAATAAATAAATAAATAAAATTACCAGGGGTGTAATGGTACATGTATTCGTCCTGAACCGCCACGTATAGATGTTACGGTTCGGGGCATGTGGTCATATGAAGAATACACGGTATATGTGAGGTAAATAAAAAATGAGGATTTAAAAAAAATAAACACAAGCTGAAATTAGACCAATGAAATGAGACACAGCTTGCAGTATGTTTGCACCTGTGAAGAGATTCAGCACAAAGCCTTACAAGGCTTTTCCATATTTTCTCTGCTCCTAACTACGTAATCACAACTGAAGCTGAACTATCGTGCACATTTGTTAACATTAGTGACTTTCACTGTTGAGTGCAAATGAAACACTCTACAGGCTATACAACATTAGGTGGAGCAAACTATAAGTTGCACTACTGTCTGTTCAAAATAAATATATATTAAAAAACAAAAACGAGCCTTATGCATTTGGTTGTTTTTGTTACTTTTTTCCTGTTGTTCAGAACTTGTATCAAACCATGATGTCCAAAGTGTGGTGTGAACCAAAACGTGACTTCTATGTACCGTTACACCCCTAAAACTGAATAATTGACACTCATGAAATCACTAAGGACTTACCTGTCACATCGAAAACGGTGTGAAAAAAAGTTTACAGCCACTAAAGTTGCTGCAGCGGTTTTGGAAAGTAGTGACGAAGATAACAATTGGTATGAAACATATGGGTGTCATGTTATGTGCAAGTGCCTTTAAAGGCGAATGTAAGAATAGGCAAATGTTAAGAAAATGCTGTTAAACTCCAGGGGATTAAACAGTACAACAGTTACATACTAGTGCCAAAATGTGTCAGAATGTTACTGCTGTGGCATTTAAGGTGGAACAGAAAATTCACATAAGAAGCTCATCCTTGTTTCATAAACTGAGAGAGGAAGCTGAAAGACTATGCTTATAACCAGAGGAGTGGGAAGGCCCACCATGCAGATTTCAGTTGATGCCATGTGTAGCAATATCTTCTACAATGTGAGCATCAGATGTGTATATATTCCTTTGCCATCATCACACCTGCTAATATGCAATGTGAATTGTGCAGGGTTCCAGAATTAAGCTAGCTAAAAGTCAGCGTTAACGCTAGCTATCATTAGTATCCCCAACAAGGCCTCTGTTTTTACCAGCTGGCTTACATGAACCAGCTCACTGTCACATACACTAGTGATGTTTGTAATGTTCATTTTTTAAAGGAAAGCAGAACTTTTAGTTTGTGTGAATTTAACTGGAGTTTGTTTATTTTTGGCTAAGTGGTAGCTATGCAGTTGGCATTCTTAGCTGGCTAAACTAGCAATAGCGGTATGTCTGTCAGTCACACAGTGTGACTGTCCTATTCTACACACAGCATCCTCCTTTTAGTTTTGAAAGAATCTGAAGCAGTTTATGATAGACCCCTGTTTATGATAGACCCATGATGTATATTCTGAATTTGGTTGGAATATGACATGTTAACAGCACACTAGAGTGGTTGTTGCCAACTCAGCCACTATGACTAGATGGTTGCATGATTTACATATGTCTATGTGTACCAGTACAATAAAACAAAATACATAAATAAAGTATAAAATACAATAAATACACAAAATCAGTTTCTTGGTGATAGATAAGGTGGAAAAATTCGTCTCTGTCTACGACATTGGTAGCCTAGATCGGTTAACACAGATGATCATTTCACAACAGTTCTTTTAATCACATGAGGTATAACTATGCATTTCTGGAAAAACATTTTAATTTAGATAAAGCTACCTGTAAATGGTCAAAGTCTGAAAAAAATTGATTTTATGCTGCAATGTTGACTCTTGGCTTTAAATTCCCAGGACATTGCCATTGCTAATGACACACTGCATTTACTTTAGACAGATGGTTAGGGTAAATCAAATTATGATTAAATATTTGAGCTTGTTCTTTACTAGTAATCAGCCAAACATATTGTATAGACATCCTGTGGTAAAATTGCACTCGCCCCACATAAAATGAATCCAGTCAGAATATAGTATTAAGGACCATAAAGATTGCATATGTATCCAACTGGTGCATCACTCATGGCTCTGTAATGACCACTGCTGAGCACAAGAAAGGAATGAAATCAGGTTTCAGTGACTGTTTATATGGTCACTGGCCACTTTTGAACACCTGCCTCATAGTTTACTCATTGTCCTTGTCAGGGTCCTGACCATTGATAAACAAGGTAAAAATATGCAGAGAAAAAAATGGACTAATCTGTGATTGTTGAACTACAAAGTACATCTATGTGGTAAACAGAGCTGATAAAATGGACCATGAGTGTAGGTACAAGGTAGGTGCATCTAATAAAGTGGTCTGTTGATGCATTTTGGCCTGAGTGAGTCATGTCAGCAGCATTTGAGTAACTATAGTCTGTTTATAGCAGGATTATGTGTTAAAAATAAGTAGCTGAAATCCATTACTGTTACAAATAAATAAATAAATGAGCAGAGAGTAATCAAAATACAGATACTTTGATGAAATGATGTGATTGTGGGACATGTGACAACACAGTGACCTGTCAAAGGTCTATTAGGTTCTGTAGCTGAAGTGACATCTGTCTACCTTATACTACATTATGAGCAGAGCTATCTGTCTGCTGAAATTAGTAAAAGATCAAGCCACCGATCAAGTGTTCAGTGGTAGTTAGGTTATAGCTAAGCAAGTTCTCCTATCAGTTAGGACTTGAAGAGGTGAAGAGAAGGCCTTATTTCCGAAGTGACAGAGGAATGAACCAGTCGCGTTTTGATATCCAATAAGCAGAAGCAATTTAAAAAGAAAAGTATCACCCTAGGCCTTGTGGAAGTCCTAGATACATCCCTGAATACAAACAGCAACTTTTAACAATGGGTTGTTAGAAATTAAAGACAGTGCCTTCAACTCCATAACCGAGCTCACTACTCTGTGAAACTGCTACATGGTAAAACATATGATATTATGCCTGTCACAAGCTTCAAGTAAAACATGGGTCCTGTTTAATCTAGAACAGCCAAAACTTGTGTAAATCGTTGTTAGTGCAGTGCTAACAGAATCTCGTAGAGATGCCAGCATTATGTTTTTTCCTTGTATTTTGATGAATTTAATTGATTTGCCTGAATTGAAAACCAAGCTCTAATAATCACAGTTTACCACTGCTACTTAACAGCTGCATCCAGTTTGAGGCAAGTGAGTGATAATTTAGGCATACAGTTTGCACAATGTGAATTCGTCAGGTATAAGCTTCTACTCAGTAACATCTGGGCTGCTATTTTAGATTGGCACAGGAAGTTTGTGGGCGGGCTGAACATGTCTTGGCTAATCGACTACATTTGGGTATGCTTAGCTGTATCTTTTTAACTGTAGTTTAAGAAGCCTGCAAAGCACATCAGTCCATAAGCCTAACTGGGTAATGTGTAGTATGGATTCTCCTCTTTCCATAGACAAGGTCATAAACTGGTGTAGACTGCCTGTAACTGGGTTTTCTTGTGTGTGTGTGTGTGTGTGTGTGTGTGTGTGTGTGTGTGTGCGCGTATGCGCGTGTGTGTGTGTGTGTGTGTGTTGGAAGTTCTTTATGAGAGAGGCTGAGGACTTGCCACAGCTGCTATAAATAGCCTCTTTGGGTGTGTATGACTCATTCTGAGTGAGACTACGTAGGATGCAGCAGCTCCCAGGACATCTTTTACTCAGGAAAAAATAACAAGCAATTACCCTCAAGCTTCACTATCGTCAGACGGGGGAATCTGCAAGCATTTCAGTCACCACAGGTTCAGATCAGTCTTCGGTCTGCTGTTCTCAAGTTGCGGCAGTGACTTTTAAACCTTGATCTTGGACTGAATCAAATGCTGAAAATCTAACCAGGGCACGAACTCTGTAAGCAAGTCACCTGCTTAAAAGTAGTACATACACATGAGCTGCATTGCTGAAACCCAAGTGATTTCAGTATCAGCATTCCTCCAGTAAAGTGGGTAGAGAAATTTTATACTGGAGGAAGGTGTACACTGTCCCTTATCTGTGCACTCTGGCGGTTCACCTGTGTTCATAGCTAATGTTGTGAGGTTGGACAGCCTTTACAGACCGCTGGTAAAAATCTCCATTCAACTTCTGAAATTGTAGTATATGACTCAGTTATTGTCAAATACCAAAATTTAGAGTGTGTCAGTTGTTGCTTTCTTTTTCTTCTTTTTTTCATTCTTTCCTTATTTCCTTCCTCCCTCCTTCCCTCCTTTTTTCTTTTTTCTTTCTTTTTCTTCCTTCTTTTCTTTTCCTCTTTTTCTTCCTTCATTTTTCTTTTTCGTCTTTCCTTATTTCTTGCCTACCTTCTTCTTTTTTCTCCATCCTTCCCTTCTTTTTCTCTTTTACTACTTCTTTCTTTCTTTCTTTCTTTCTTTGATTTTCTCTGTTTATTTCATTTGTTTTCTTCTGTCCTTTATTCTTTTCTTTTCTTCCTTCTTTCTTACTCTCTTACTTTTGGGTCATTCCATACCATCCCACCTAGCCCTCCCAGTTCATGTCATGGATTTTCTGGATAAAAATGTGAAAACTTCTAATAAATTCATAGCAGCAAAATCCTACAACTCTACTCCAAGTACTTTTTTAGTAATGAGGTTAAAATTTATAATGAACATCCAAGAAACCCTAAGGATAATTTGCAGTATGTATTCATGCAAATAGTTGTTACTAATTGTTTAACAGTAATCAAATTATAAAAATAATATTAAAAATATTTTTTACTCATTTGTCCAAAAATTATCTCTAGTTTTCACTTTCCTCCAACCAAATTTTAATTCTGTGTAATATTAATAGAGTTCTATCACATCTAGAAGTGCTACGGATCTTGCTAAATATAGCTTCAGAGCTGAAAACCCACATTTTAAGATATTTTGCAGATATAAAAAATGTAAAAATGTTGTATTATTCCCTCGTTATTTAATAATTTATTGAAAATAGTCATACTTTCACTGGCTGTAAGACTACTTGATAGGTAGATATTTGTACTATGTTGAACCTGTGTTTCTTTGGGTTCAGGAAATTTGCAAGTTACAGTTTGTAAAGGCTTGATTTGTTGCATACTAGATTGTCACCTTGTTCCATGTGTGTGGACAATTTTAATTAAACACAGGAAAAAATGTTAAATTGGTAGGGTACTTCCCACAAACTTCTCACTGTCAGATGTAAGTACTCATACCTAACAACCTAGCCTGAGTATAACACAACAGGGTGCGCTATCACCATTACACTGGTACTTAACAATACTAACAACAACAACAAAGATCCCTTTGTGAGCATTTCACAGGGGTTGTCAACTGGGTTGTCTCATGAAATAATGCCCATGACACCTCCAGAAGGTGCGACAGTGGTGTCTATCGTCCAAGTTCCTTAGAAATATAATAGCATTTTAAACTGGACATTATGTAGTCCAATGTAAGTGCATCAGGTTGAATAAGTTGTTTTTTCTTACCAATGTTCTGTAAAGCTCATCCAGTGTTGCATCAGTAGCTATGAAAGAACACATTTGTGAGTGGATTGCTGAAAAGGCAGTTTAGCAGTTAGCTGTCTCTCTGTGCGAGCTGGCCATGAGCAAAAACAGAAGAAGAAATCGTTGCTCAAATGTCTGTGTGGTAATAAAAATCAAAGTGCTGCTTTATGGATAAATTTAGGAGCTTTTAGTATTAGGTGAAGTCTTTGGAAAAAAGCTATTGATAGCACATGTATTGTCTATGTTATTTTGTCCAAGCAACATTCTTTGTTTTGTGAATTTAATGATTTGTTCAGCTGCTTTTTGTTTTTATTTAGGGGGTACTCTAAATAATTTGGTAACATAAACTGTCATAGAACCCTTGATTACTTCACATGAATCCATATTATCTCCTTTACTCTCAAATGTTTTTTTATAATCCTGCTCAAAAATATTGCACTATAGCATGCAGAGAATAATATTGTAGCGTTGGGAGTTTCTTCAAAAAACACAAGAGAGTCAGGGTCTTGGTCCATAATGCAGCTTTTACTGACTACTCAGCTCAGAGGAACAGTTTACAATGGAAAATAGAGGAACTGTGCTTAGCTTAGCAGCTGCATACTCAGAATGAACCAAGCCTAGCCTTGGAGCTCCTTTGTTTTTCCACCAGGATACATCAGTTTCTCTTCAACAACCGCTCAAAGGAAAACTAGCCCCCACCCTTCAACGTAAGAGTGCAACAAAAGAACACACATACAGGGGGTTACTAAAGACTAAATTAACCTAAGCCTAACATTAGGACCTTTTTGAACAGAAAATATCAGTCTTTGGAACTAAATCAAAAACCCAGGCATTAACTTACACCACAAAAAAAACTTCTAAATAAATTGTCACAAATTGTCTTTGCAGATCAGTATAAATATAAAAATAGAATTAATCATATTCAGAGTTATGACACTGCAATGTAAACCCTCATTAGATATGTAGTAACTATTACTGTTGATTTGGTAACTACTAAAACTGAGATGTAAATTTAATAGTAATTAGAGTGAGGAATTGAAATGTAGATCTGCAGTTTAGGGGTTAAAAATGCAGACATTTCTTCTCAAATTCATCAAGTCTTAATTTAGTCTTCTCATCTACTCTGTGTGCTTGTGTTAATTAATGCTCTCAGCGTTTATGAGAGGCTGATGTATGCCTCCACATGCTTACACGTACACACGCTATTTTTCACTGCGCCGGATGACTCATCAAATTAGCAATGATGTCATTCCATAACGCTTCTACTCTGGTAAAGGTTGGGCAGGATTGATTTCAGGAAGTGCAGAGAGAAGAACAAAACTCTGCCTGCCTCAGCATCTCCCTCTGTTCATCTATTATTGTGCAATAAAAATGAAGTATATATCTCTTTTGTTCTTAGAATTTGATTATCTCTTCAATTAGGTAGGATCAAAATATTCGTTGTCTTACATTGTCAGCTGTTCTGTTTTACCTTGAAGTGTTCATTCTGTGTTATAGATACTTAGACTTATGCCACCCAAATAGAATCTGGACAGCAGTGTTCCAGTAGTTTGAAACTGACCAGTGGAGTAGATGAATAGAGTACAGAGGTGTTAATAAATTGTGCAGCAATAGATGAGCTGCAGTCTGTAATTGTACACCTATATAGTGAAAGTACAAGGTTGGTGTTTCTAATAAAGTGTCCAATGAATGGAAATACAAATTACGGCTTTCTAATGAAGTAGTCAGTGAGTGGAAGTTCAAGATAGGGGTTTCTGATGAAGTGGCCAGTAAGTGGAAGTACAAAGTAGGTGTTTCATATAAAGTGGCCAGTGAGTGGAAGAACAAAGTCAGATTCCTCATGTGTATTACATTTGGTGAAACATAACTAATTGTAATTCTAATTCTTTAGGAGACATTGACACGAAGATGGAAAGTTAACCCCAGACATGCTCATGATCTCCTTTTCTTTCTCCTCTATTAGCACACGGGAGAGCCTGGCATCCAACACCTCAAGCATTGTGGAGAGTAACCGGCGGCAGAACCCCGCTCTGAGTCCGGGTCACATGGGCAGCACCAGCATCGGCCCACCCTTCACCTTCCGCACCATCCCCGAGCCCCCCACCACACAGGCTGAGAAACTGCAGAAATCTCCCAACTGCCTTGCCTCCATCACCAGCGTCTGACACGGGCTTCAGCTAGGCAGGCGCAGAGTTGGGCAAATCTGCAGAGAAAAAACAAAAAATGGGGGTCTGTGTCAGTACCGGGGCGTGGGTGGTCTGGTGGTCAACCTGCTCTGAGACAAGCACCTCAAACCACATGGGGACTGTTAAAGCCCACAGGTAATGGCTTCCACAGACTGTTCTTACAGCATAAACAAGTCACTGCAAAAAAAGAGAGAAAAAAAAGAAAGAAAAGAACAGTCAAAAAAAGAAATTATTCACGACATGATTTATGTTGACTAGCGATTAATCAGGAAATTCTCCACTTTGAATCAACAGTTATTTTCTTAACCCAGGATAGTCTTGAAGTATCTGGTCATTTTTTTTATTATTTTTAAGTCATTTTTTCAGTCATGGATAAAAAAGAAATTCTCCCGCCAGTGGATTAGGATTGCACTCTGACGTAAGGATGCGCATCGCTGCTTTAAGGATGCGATTGAAAAGAAATCGAGAATAATGACATACGGAAGAAACCTGGTATTAAAAAAAAAACTCATTTGAACAACATTAAATTCATGATTCATAATGTTGTATAATAAACCCAAAAATAAAAGTCATTCTTCACAAAAGCATTAGCTCTGTCGATAAAGTAATAAGAACTGGAGTTATACTTTCATGCTTATAAAAATAAATAGTACTACTTAGATTGACTTACAGAAAAAAGTATTCTGAAATTAAAGGATTATTTTAGGGAAATCAAGTACTGTTGTTTTTTGTTTGTTTTCTTTTATTTTATTTTTCTTAAAACCCAGATAAGGCAAAGCAGATACAAGTGTAATATGTGTGTGACTGTGCTTCACTTGATGAATTTACTTATTTCATTAAAGTTTCTATCTGACATTTAATCTCAGGTCATGAATAGTTACTCTATTAGGAGGAAAAAAACATCATTCAACCTGGAGCCATGCTGCTCAGGACCCACTTCACCATGTATGCTTTCTGAAGATTTAAAAAAGCAAGTTTGTGGGTAAAAAATACGTTTGTTATCTTTATTTATACGTTTATAAGATCTGGATTCAGCTGGTTCATATTCTATTACTCTGAAATGAAATGGTGAATGGGATTCCTGGCTGCATGTGCCGGCTGTTTGTGGATGTCGCTGTCAGTTTTGAAAACACGCTTGTGTGTTTTGTGGCTCTGAAGCTATGTGTGTCTCTGGAAGGAGAGAATGCGAGTGTCAGATGGCAGGAATGTGGGTGTTGTGTTGCTCTGTTTAAAAGAAAAAGAACATCGTCTCTCTTTCGTGGGCCAGTGGGATGCCCTCTTGCTGCTGTGATAGAACTTTTATTTTGAAATGTGTTTTACTTGAGGTGAATCCATAGAGCTCCTTTACATAAAATATATTCAAAAGTTTTGGTACCCCTGGTCAAACGACACGTTTTGGTAATCTTCTACAGAGAACACACTTCTGCACATTTGAATGCACAGTTACTGTTTATTAGCTGAATTTAACATATTGGGGAAAAAAATCAAACATAGAATGTGGCATCTGCAAAAGTTTGGGCATGTTTTGTTTTTTTCCCCATTATGAACTAGTCATTTTAATGCATGTGAAAATGAAAAATGAATAGTAATTACATTGACGTACTAAAAAAAATAAGTACTGTTGCTGCTTTTTGTTTTTGTTTGTTTTTTATATTAAAACCCAGACAAGGCAGAGCAGATACAAGTGTGGTGTGTACATTTTAAATAAAATTCTATTGTTTGTTAAACTCAGCAAATAAACAGAAATTGTGCACTAAAATTCTAGATCCTAATTGTATTGAAATTCCGTATGTTAACTTCTTTGCAATTTGAACACACACACACACATATATATATATATATATATATATATATATATATATATATATATATATATATATATATATATATATATATATATATATAATATAGCTGTTGTCGGAAGAAAACCTCATATCTCAAAATGACAGCTTCACAGGAAAAGGGGAAAAAAACAACTTTACTGTTAACGTAAGTCAATGGAACCCAATTTTTTTTTTCCAAGCCATTTTGGGCCATTTCTTTTGGTCCATTCCTCATGAAATTTGCACATGTAATGGCCAACAGGTATTTTTAAATTATTTCAAGTGATATGTCAGGAGATAAGAGGTTTTCTTCCGACAGCAGCGCTATATAATATATAAGGGGTGCGGGAAAAACTCGATTCTTAGATGCATCGCGATGCGGAACGATTCTGAATCGATTCATAAATGTCAAAAATCGATTTTCTAAATATTTAATTTATAACGTAATGTTGACGGAACGCAAAAGGCGGAACTGGAAGTGGGTAAGTGCAGCGCCCGGACAGTCTGTGGCGGCACATAACAAAAACACTACTGGATGAGCGAGAAATCCGACAGGCTCCTTCTGCATTAAAAGCCAGGTTAGGTCAGGAGTCACAACCCAAATGTTCAGAAGAGCCATTTTGTTTTTTTAACAAAAATCAAACCACCTTGGGAGCCACAACATTTAATGTCCAGTATGTCTCAGTACGTGATAATGTCCTAGCATATAACGAGAGTGCAGATTTACTTCGCTCTGCTTTAAACTTTAACTATAGCCACTTTTCTCCCATCTCCGCCAGAAAACCTTTCTTCGAAACTAGAAGAGTTTCTTGTAAAATGTCTCAGCGTCCGGCTGTTTTACGAGGCTGAGGTCGCTTCTCATTCGCCAGCTTCTCGTTCTAATTTTCACGTTCCACCTTAAATTCTGCCTTAGGCGCCGAATGTAACTGAGGCACCATTTAAGGTGGAACGGGAAAATACGAAAGAGAAGCGAGTTCATTTTCGCGACTTTTTAGAGAAAGACAGTCTCTCGTTGCAGATTTAACCAACCGCGCTGCTTATAAATGCGAATAAGTCCTCCAAATGTTTGTCTTAATCTCTGTTTTTTCATTCGCTACTGGCGAGGCCAGACTTCGGTGCTATGTGACCTGCTGTCTGTTCTCAGTGGTTGAGAACCAGGGCTTTCGCGCTATGCTGCACACTTTGGAGCCGAGATTCAGCGTCCAGTCTCGAAAATACCTGACGTAAGGATGCGCATCGCTGCTTTAAGAAAGCGATTGAAAAGAAATCGAGAATAATGACATACGGAAGATATCTCCACAACACACACACACACACTCTCTCTCTCTCTCTCTCTCTACAATGATATATATATATATATTTGCATTCCCTCCCCCTCCACAAATATTGGCACCCCTGGTTAACATGAGCAAGACAGACTGTGAAAAACATTCTTTATTGTTTATCTTTATCTTTTTTCATTCAAAATCTTAACAAAATCTAACCTTTTTATTGAAGTATAAGGATTAAAACAAAACAAAACAATCTTATCATGAAATAAATATTTTTCTCAAATGTTCTGTATGTTTGCCACAATTATTGGCTCCCTTTCATTTAATACTTTGTGCAGCTTTCCTTTGGAAATATAAATGCTTAATGAGACTGGAGAACACATGGCAAAGGATCTGAGAACATTTTCCCCATACAGATTCTCTCCAGATCCCTTAAGTCAGAGGCTTGGGGTGGTTGGAGAAAAACCTTAATTCTCTGGTCAGTGAACCATTTTTTTGTTGATTTTGAGGAGTGCTATGGATCATTATCCTGCTGGAAGATCCAAACTATGCTACAGTAATGTAATTTCTGCTGGTACTTGATGGAGTGCATGATACCATGTATCTGAATAAATTGTCCAGGGCATTTGGAAGAAAAACAGCCCCACAGTATCACAGATCCAATGGGATCCACCACCATACTGAGATCCACCACAGTGGAGAGGTGGTTCTTTTCTGCATGGCTGTCTTTGTGTTGATACCATATTAACTTGTGGTGTTTGTTGCCTGAAACCTCTATTTTGGTCTCATCTGACTATAAAACATGGTCCCACTGAAATTTCCAGTAACATTTGGCAAACTGCAGGCGCTGTTTATTGGTCCTTAACAGCAGAAGTCTGTTTTTGGACCCCAAGACTTAACTGATTTCTGCAATTCCCCATCTGGGCTCCTCAGAGATTCTTTGTCCACTCGAACCATCATTCTCTCTGTGTGTGGGGTCAGTATAGACATGCATCTTCTTTCCAGCAGATTTTTAACATCTCCAGTTGTTTTAAGCTTCTTAATTATTGCCCTGCTAGTGGACATGGACATTTTCAACTTTGTAGATATTTTCTTGTAGCCATTTCCTGATCTGTGCAGCTCAACAGCCTTTTGTCGCACATCATCATTGCTGTATTCTCTGGTCTTTCTCATAGTGATGGATGACTGAGGAAATTTGGCCCATGTTTCATCTCATATATATTTCCCAGTAAATTAGGAAGTAATGGCTGAATATTTAAGTGTTCCTAATAACTCAGGTGAAATTTAAATCATAAAATATATATGATTCCACTCTTAAGAAGTTTTAGGTGTGCCAACAATTGTGGCATACATAGATTTAAGAAATATATGTATTTTATGGATTTTTTCTTTGTCATTATACCTTAAATAAAGGTTAGATTTTGGTTAATATTTTCTGTAATGAAAGATTAAAAGGATAAGTGATATATGTATATATATAAAATTGCAAATAAGTTAACACATTCTTTTTTTTTGCCATTTTCTTGATTGAAGGCATGTTTCTTAAAGAGTAATTCCACCCGTTTTTAAAAATGTATGCATAATTCAATCAGTGGTACATAAGTCATTTAGAGGGGTTTGACTTTTGAAGTGCTATGTTCAAAAAAAAAACTAAAAATTTCTTTACAGTGGTGGTGATAGGAACCAGGGGTCACAATGTTTACAACACAAAAATAGCCAATTCATTTAATATCCAAAATGACCAGGCAACTTATGAATTTTTATATGCAATTTTGATGATGGTAAAATAGTGGTAGATCTGAGAGAATAAGTTTTCTTTGGGGAATATTATAAAACAATTTTATGAGGCTTTAAACTCTTCAGCCTTCTGGTTCCTTTCATCACCTCTGTGAACAATTCAGACTTTCAGAAATCATGAAAATTCAGTGGAATTCCCATTTAAGGAACCTGAAAAAATTCCTCTGAAGCAGGTGATGTTCTCAACCTATTTTTGCAAAAAGAATAAACTTCTAAATGAGTTGACACATGAGACATGATGAAATTGCTGATATTTATTTGTCCTTAAAAAGAAAGAAGTCATCTTTTGTCATATGAGTTTCTACACTGCAAACTAAGCCCTTATTCAATGAGTATTTAAAGCACTTTCATCTCTATGAATCCTAAAAACTCTTTTTATACTCTTTTTAAAATTTAAATTGCTTTACACCAGTTTCCTGCTGATGTCATTGAATAATTTTGGCTGCATGGACCATTACTTCACTCTCTGTGAGGGTCAGATGTTGTACTCAAAGCTGATAGCAGTCCCCTGGGATGCAGTGGACAGTCCTGAGGAAGAAAGTAGCACCGGTGTGACGTTGCTCCTGTTTTTCATGTTTTTTGTTTTTTTGGTTGCTTTCATTAGTTACTATTATCAGGCAGATGTTCTACGATTAGACTTCTCATAGTGTTTTAATTTAACATAATTCATGACAGCACACTCCCTGACAACAAATGCAGATTCATATATACACACACACACACACACACACACACACATACTCATATATGGTCGAAAACTCCACATACATGCACATAACT